CTCAATGGGGATATCTGAAAAGGATCATTTTATGCATAGACAGTAAGTTATCATAGAAAGATAATTATTATTTTTTACTATGAGGTAATAAATGTGGATGTTACAGAAAGCGAACATTGGCGGGTAAAGGTATATTTTTTAACATGATGAAATTACTTTGATTGCGTGAAGAGAGGCACGGAGAAAGATTTTCCAAATGTAAAAAGTTCCAGTATGTGTGAAAAACAGATGTTTATGACTGTTAATCTGTTTTCGACTCCCGTATATCCCCCTCCTCTCCTTTCAACCATTCCCATAAGTGTTTTAAGTGAGTTACTCATAGCTGCTAGAGAAAAGCACGTGGCGTTTCTTGATAGGCTAGAAGCTAGAGGTTGTTTATGACTTGGTGAAAAAGGCGAATATTTTGGAGTGTGGATTTCATTATTTTCCCATTGTTTGCATTTTGTTTCAGTTCGTGAAGATACGCTACGCTGATAAGATGGCTCATTCAAAACCATTTCAGACTATTGAAGAAGCATTAGAATATTTATATACATTATCAGATGATGAAGAGTGTATTGATATTTGTCAACTGGCTCCAGAAGAAACTGGATGTTTGACAGATGAGGAAGATGTAAATGAAGATATTTTTGAGCCAGCGGATGTATGTGGAAAAATCGAAATTTCTAATAGATGATGATGAAATATCTCAAGAAATTTCATTAGATCCTCAAGAACCTTCATCTTCAAAGGGAAGGAAGAATTTGAAGCGAAACGTAAATGCGAAAGATGAAAACTTTGAACATCGGTGGAGGAAAAATTTAAATTTTAAAAAAATTCTAAAAACTGGCAGCATTGAAAATATTTGCGAAGTGTTTCCTGAACTAGTTACTTTGTCTCCAATTGAGATGTTTCACAAATTCCTAACTAGAAAATATTTGCTGCAATTAGAAAATATGACAGGTCTTTACGCAATGCAGAAAGAAGTTTTAGCTGTGTATGGAAACGATATTGGACAGTTTTTTGAATTACTTTTGTTTAGCGGGTATCATCGAGTACCCGGCGAAGATTTATACTGGAGCACTCAAGAAGATTTATCTGTCCCAGTAGTTTCTTCTGTAATGCCAAGAAATAGATTTCGAAAACTAAAAAAATATTTTCATATTATAGATAATACCAAGTTGGCATTAGGAGAAAAAACAAGAAATGTTTCTCCTTTTTATGAAGAACTGGAAAAAAAACTTTCAATAGTTCGGTATCTTCCATTCCTGCAGTGTGAATTTGTGTATGGAGATTATTTGTTACTAATTACTACAACTCTTTTCCTTGTTTCAGTATAAACTTCTAACAATGAATGTAAAACTCTTTTATAAATTCTTGCTTATCAACTATGTAATTTTTGTTTTAATTTATTGCGAAAGCTTTTTTCTGTGGAAACTTCATACCTTCTCCTAAGAAATTTTGGTTGAGTAGCTTTGCGGTTATAAAGGTGTAGGCTCCCTATTTTTCTGCTTAATCTATGTTACTCCCGAATAACGTTGACAAATTCACTTGCTAATGCTGGAAAAGTGCAGACAAAAATGAAGCTTCGAATTACAATGTCGATAACCATGTTTTACCGAAATCATGTAAAAAAAAACTAACTGTTTCCCGCCAATGTTTCATTTATGGAACATGTTATTTATCATTAAAATGTTTTTTTTTTTTTTAATTTTTTTTTTTTAATTTTTTTTTTTTAATTTTTTTTTTTTTTTTTTAATTTTTTTTTTTTTTTTTTTTAATTTTTTCATAATTCTTATATTTGAGTTTTAAATCGATTTTTCACAACAAAATTTTTTTTTTACTTGCGTATATAAGGTTAATGCTTTGAATAAGATCAAAATGGGTGAAAACGTTAGGTTAATTAATCTGCAGATGAACTCGTGATTAGACTTCTGCACACAGGTTAGCACAAGAAACATGCCAATTAGGGGTTAACACTAAGTTTTGCAATAAGCGCCTATAGGAATTCCGGCGTGTAGTTCAGTTTTAAAATAATTTGTCATGATTGAAAATAAATTTTAATTAGAAGGCAAAATTTAAAGCTTTTTATTAGACTCAAAGGGTGTTGCAAGCACAAATAGAAGTAAGTCAAAGAATGGAAATGCCACAAAATAAACAGCACGGTACCTCGTTTTAAGCAGTCAACAAGTTAGCAGACTGTCTGTTCAAGATAAGCTATGAACAAATTCTGCACCCGAACACCATTTCTTGTTACTATCTGCTCAAAGAAATCATGATGATGTATTATTATTATTATTTTATTTATTTATTTATTTATAAATTCAGCTTTATGTATTTTTCTTTTTCTCACCAAAATGCAGATTCAGCTAGCTAGTATTTAAATTGAGGTTTCTAGATTGAAAGAAGAGAGTGTTTCTGCTTAATGTTAGTTATTTCCACGTCGGTTATGTTTGTAATAATTCCATTTTGGGATTATTGTTGCCGACATTTGGATTTCTTACTCCAGTAGGATTACTGAGCCAGCTTGGAAGGAAATTAACTTCTGTGGTCCTTTTCAACTAGCCTATGTTTTTAAAGGAAATTTATAGTTTCTTTAAATGCATCACGAGCATTAATGTTGAATTTTTAGCAGAAGAACTTGCATCAACGTTGAGATTGCTGTTTAATAAAAAAAATTATTAAAACCTTTAAATGGCTTACAGTTACTTAGGCAGAGAAATCATTCGCTTCATCTCTGGGGTTATTGGTTTCTAATCGGCTAAAATCCTATAACTTTCCTATGGCACAGGGACTCAAGACTGTCGTTATATTGCTGTTTAAAGGCCTTATGACTTGGGATTTATAAGAGGAAGTCGATGGTTTTGAATCGTACTCACTTCATTTTGTACAAGGGTCTGTTTAGCATAGTTTAGTCATTGTTTCAGCCGTGCCAGTAGTGATGAGAGAATGCACCGTTTGCAGGACTCCTGATACAGACAGAACTATGTCCTTCGATTCGATCAGTTCCTCCTGCCGAGGACACATAGTTACAGAAAGTGAAATATTTACCTTTTCCTCCCAATTACTAGCCCTGTTTACTTCCTTGTACGAAGTAAAGCAAGTATTGTAATCGCGAAAAATTTCGGGTATCATATTTCAACGAAAATATCCATTTTGATCACTCTCGATGCAACTTGAACGATGTTTGTGCGTTATATCTCTACCTACGGAGAAATTAAAAGCCTTTTTTTTTCCCAAAATGAATTGTAAAATGTGCATTTAAAATGGATTCGTAAGAGATTTTTTTCGTGACGTCAATAGATACTCGTGCATATGCATGTATCCCGCATAACGTCAAAACGAGTAACCCTAGAACATTGAAATTTTCTATATAGGACCGCTATGACATGTAGATGTGCTTGTTTGCAATGAGCTGCACCAAAAGATTTTAAACATGTGTATACAAATATATAATAACATTAAAAGCTTCTAAAGTTAAAAGTAAATTGGAAACAAAGCAAGGTAATTCCTCAGCAATATTAATAATTGCATCCTTGTAAAGGGGTTCAAAACAAAATCTGACTAATTCAAAATAAAAATGATCATAGTGGTACAAACTCGAAAACTAAAAATGCAAAAAGGAAAAAATAAAAATATACGATAAAAAAATTATTTATGAAACTAATTCAGAATTCATCTTCATTAATTTAAGTTTAATAAAAGTGATTAATATGTTTCGAAAAGGGTGTTTCGTTCTCCTGGTGTAAATTTGAGATCAAAAACCGAAAAAAAGAATCAATTAAAGTTTCACATTAAGACATTAAAACTCATATAAAACCGAAAAAAGTGAATCTCAAATTTACCAGGATTTTCACTACACGCCTTCGAAACACTTGTAAAAAAGAATAAAACATAACATTGTTTCAAACTAATTAAAAAAGCCAAAAAACATTACATTATGTAAAATGACCATTTAAAAAAAAACAAATTGGTCTAAAAACATTATATGCAAATTCGAAGCTAAAAATCAAATATAAAGATAGACTGCATTAAAAATATACTTTAAGCCAAATAGTCATCATCTAAGTAATACTCTAAAAATGGGCGGTTCCTCGATTACGCTTAACTGATCTTTTAATTCCAAGAAAACGAAAAACTTCATAGAGTTTGCTTGAAATAATAAAATCAAAGCTGAGCCTACTTCGAAAAAAAAAAAAAAAAAAAAATAAATAAAAAAAAAAAAAAAAAAAAAAAAAAAAAAACATATTAGAAACAAAACTGAAAAACGCGAACTTAACTCAAGTCATATGACGTCCTTCAAATGAAAATGCACTTAATTTTTCAGATGACCAAAATGAGTTTCTTGTAGAATTCATCGTGGCTCTGAAGAAACTGATATACCTACTTTCTCTCCCACCTCGGTGAGCTAAGAGTTCTTTATGGTGGCAAATTGTGCATTTTTTGCTTTAGAAGTGATTGAATTATATTGTTCTTACGTTCCGGTTAAGGTTTCTATGCCTTTATTTAATCTGCATGCTAAGGTTCTAGACTTAATGCTAAGGTTCTAGACAATAATTTAAAATTTGTTCAAGTTCCACTAAGCCTAACAAAGCCGTCATTTATTTACAATTGAAACTAAACGCTAATTTTTAATTGTAAAAATTGTTTTTAACGGCTTTTAAACGTTCTTGATGGTTTAGGTTTTTCTGTATTTTATAATTTTTAATGAAGATGCCTTGAGTTTTTATGCACGAAATAAGATCTGAATTGATAGATTGAGAAATATATCTCTATCCAGGGAAATAAGCTTAAATGAAATGCAGCAAAATATGTGCATCATTTAATAGGACTTATAAGGAAGTTCTATAGTGTCCAGATCAGATTTATAAAATAAGCATTGAGATGACAGCTTAACATTTTGCTGAAGAAATTATCTACTTCAAATGTATATGCCATAAATTTATGCGCAATATATTATACACGAATAATAATGGAAACCTTCATATTTTTGAATTTTCAGATGTTTTTATCCTTTCCAGATCCCTGCAGTTCAAATCCATGTAAACACGATGGAAAGTGTAAAGTGACAAGTACTGGATACGAGTGTTTTTGTGAATCACCATATTCAGGAAAACAATGTGAAAAGGGTAAATGTTTTTTAAATAAAATTGCATGATGTTCTGTTTAGGAGACTTTAGTAAAACACGGAGATTCATTTACACTTCTTTGGTTTCGGTTTAGATCTCTGCGAATTAAATCCGTGTAAAAATGGAGGAACATGCTGTGCAGTCAACGGTATTGCTGCTTGCAATTGCAAAGAGCCATATTCAGGAAAACTTTGCGAGAAAGGTATGTACTTAACAATAAATTATTGAGAAATAATCATGTTTACTTACAGAATATACTATAATAATACGTCAACTAATTGTTAATTTACAATGATTTTTATTTTTTTTTCACGCTATAAGGTATTTCTCCCACCTTCTTAACATGCCTTCGTAGTGTAGTGATCAGCACGCTCGGCGAGTATTCGAAATGCCCGTGGTTCGCGTCTCGGCGAAGGCGCTGCTCATTTTTCACGTCTCCTTTCAAAAATTACTAATGTCTCTACAGTGGCGCCCGAATTAAAAGGGTGGTGGATGATGATTCTTCACTCCCAGTGTTTGGCGAGTGAATTCCCTAATCCACAGTCACCCTTTAAAAGGGGGGAGTATGTAAGGTATTTCTCGCGCCTTCTTAGCATACCTGTGTGGTATAGTGGTCAACGTATTCATGAAGCCCGTGATTCGAGTCCCAGCGAACACGTTGCTCATTTTTCACGTCTCCTGCTGTCAAAAATTACCTAATGTCTCCACAACGCCTTATAAATGCAGATTTTGATGGATAACAATGTTACTTATGAATATTACTTGCGCCAACAAAAATAGTCAATAAATGGAGGAATTTACACAATGAACAAAATTTTGGTGTGACACTCGTCATAATGGAACATGATAAAAGCAATTAAACATTAATAAAAGCATTTAAAATTAAATTAAAACATTTTTCAAGAAGAAATTAAATAAGTAAATTCAAAATCAGCTTTAAGTTAGGGAATTAACATTGCAAAAGTTGAGAAAAGAATTACAGTAAAAAATATCAACTCTTTAGATAACTACTATAATAAAACTAAGCAATTCGTATAATTAAAATAAATTAGGTAAAAGTTATAAACTATATTTTCTCGTTCCGAAAAGAAACTTTTTTCGAAAAATTATTAATACTCTCTGACGTTACAATAGAACTCATTTGTAAAGTACATGCTAAGTCGTGGTGAGAGTGGCAGAAACTTTAAGAATTACTTGGAACTAGCCAGCTCTTAAACTGACCAAAAGTAACAAAATCTAAACTACGAATTTAACTGAAGTTAAAAACATTAGGCTAACCTACCACTTTCTACTGAGAATCCGAATAACACTGTAAGACTCACAACAAAATAACATTTCACTCACATAAAAATAAGCTAATCCAAGCATTTTGCTTGAATAAATAAACTTATGATACACTCTACCCGAAGGAAAACCTACCCCAAAAAATGAAGAAACCATAGGTAACTAAAAACCAAAGAAAAAAGAGAACTGCAACCCAGCACAACTCAAAGGCCATGCCGACATAAACATAGCATCAAAATAAATAGTTAAAATTGTATATTTCAGTACACAAGTACTTTCCCCTAAACAAAAGGTGAACAACATGTAATCTGAAAAATAAGCATGAGTCCAATAACCAAAAACAAAATGCAGTTTTCTTGCAAAATAATCTCAAAACACTACGTTAGAGAAGTGTACAAAAACACAAATTTGATCCTAAGTTCTTCAAAACGTGCCCTCTGAAATTAGTGCCAAATAGTGCTGGCAAAAGGAAAAACGACCATAAACACAGCAAACACGTATAAATAAGAAATAACAACCAGCTAGTCAAAACTCAGAAGTTTCCTAGTAGGAAAAACAAAACTACTTTGAAGCAACTTAACTTGAAGAGAAACAAAGGGGGCCAACCACCAAGATTTCAAAAAAAAAAAAAAAAAAAAAAAAAAAAAAGGAAAAAATAAATAAAAGTAAAATAAATGCATTGAGACAAAAAGGTTGAAATTCCTGATAAAACATAAGGATAATAAACACGAACTGGATAAGGTCAAAACAAACCAAGTCAACTTAACTAATCGCGCAACAAAAGTAAACAAGCTGGATCCAGTAAACGCCTACAAAGCAACTTGTGATGCGGAATAATAATTAACCTAACCCTACCACTAGTACAAAAGCTCAATGTTCAAATCAATTAGTTACAAATCCATGAGTGTCTCTGGGCCTTAAACTGTAAGGCATTTGTGTAGTAGTGTCACTAGGTTGACCAGCAGAATGAAGGTCTTGATCAAATATCTCAAAGTTAGGAAATATAATTCTTTCTGGCACATTAGTTAAACGATCAACAAGTACTATCTGTCGTGTATGTTGTTTCTTCATCAACTCTGTCTTGAAATTAACCTTTGCTCCACAACTCTGTAAGGTGCCTTGTTAAATATACATAACTTCTTAGTCGTTACTGATTGAGAAAAGCCAGACAATCATCTAAAGCTTGATGCTTCCCAGTTCTATGGGATAACACAGCAAATAGTAAATGCCTGTCTCAACCTTATTGCGTTTCAAATACCAAACTACTCAAAGAGTTAATAAGTGTTGCATTTAATCTTTCCACGACATCATCTGATTGTGGATGATAACTTTTCGTGGTGTGTTTACAAGTTCCTAATTTCTTATGAATTTCATTAATAACTTGTAAAATAAAATGAGTACCTCTGTGATTATATGCTGTGGTATTCATAAGAAGCAATGAATAATGCAAGTTTTTCAATTATATTTTCAGAAGAACAATTTTGTAAAGGTTCTGGCCATCTACTGAAGTAATCAGTAATAACCAAAGTATATTTATTTTCATTAAAGTGTCAAAGCCAGACGGTCTACAATATGCATGGCTATACGTTCAATAGGTCTATTAGCTACTGGAACTCTCTTTAAAGAAATTTCGTGTAAAGCTTTAAAGCTACGTTTTTTGGATACATGACAAGATTTTATGTAATTAAGTATTTGCTTATGCATGATTTCCAAAAGAGAGATTTATGAATTCTATGAATGGTTTTATGAAAATGATAATGAGAAGCTACAGGTGAATATTTTTTGATGATTTTGTTGCAAAATTTTTGGAACTAATATATTTGGTAAGACTATGCGATTTTGTTTCTGCCAATGAGCTTTGTTTTTAAATTTACATACAAGATATTATTTTCAATTTAAAAATGTGTGTAGCAGGTTTTAGGATTCTATTGTGCTGTAAAACTTCTTTTCTTTGTATGCAGTAAGGATCTACAGCTTGGTGTTCTTTAATTGTGTGTCAGGCGTCAAATTTAATTTCCAGGCTTATGAACAATTTTGCAATCATACTGTGACAATCGCATTATCCAACGAGCAATCCTAGATGTTGGATGTTTTAGTTTTAGTCCATGGGAAAGAGAAGCCTGATCACAATAAATAGTAAAACCTTTCCCTAAAGGATTTTGTCTAAAATGGGCAGTCGCCCATACTACAGCCAAGATTTCTTTCTCAACTGTGCTATAATTAATGTCTGAAACTTTTAATTTTCTACTGGCAAAACAAAGAAAGTACCCATTTTTATCTTCTTGGTTTAAAATGGTTCCTAGAGCAAAATTCAAAGCGTCCCTACATGAAGAACAATGTTTCTTGAAATTAGACAAAGCCAAATTTGGCTGAGTGAAAGGTTCAACCCTTAAAGTATCAAAAGCCTGTTGAGTTTCATTAATCCACTTAAAAATGCTTTGTCTTTAGTCAATTTTGTTAAAGGTAAGGCTTTTGTTATCGAGATTTGAATAAATCTACAATAAAATCTTAGACCTGAAAACTATTGATTACATTACGATTCTTATCATCAGGTTGAACTTTACCTTGGGAAACTTTAAAAACTAGATATGTGATTCGATTCTGAAGAAAATTACATTTAGATGGTTTTAATTTGACATTATGTGCACCAAGCCTATCAAATACAACTTTTACTTTGTCTAAATGTTTTTCAAATGTAATCATCTATACCAATACCTATCTGTAAGGGAGAAAGATTTGCCAAAACAATTGACATATGTCTCTGAAAAGAACTTGGAGCATTTCTCACTTCAAACGGAAGTCGTCTACAATGGTAATATCCTGACATAGTAGTGAAGCCACTTTTTAAGTATCTTCAGGGCATATTTTCATTTGAAAGAAACCTGACGTTAAATACAAAGTAGGAAAATAAGTAGATTTCCCTAAACCTTCGATAAATTCAATCATGCTTGCAAACGATAACTCCCATCAAGCTTTCTCACCATAATCACTGGAGCTGAATAAGCACTATCATTTTCGTCATTTATTTTGCCTCTAACAGCTCAGCAATTTGCTTATCCAATTCTTGGCTTAAATGATGAGGAACTCTGTAATCTCTCTGTCTGAAAGTATATTATCTTTTAAATTAGTGTTATGCAAAATAATATCACAACCAGTAAGCTCTTACAGAAGAAGTAAAACTATGTTTATACTTGTCTAACAGAATGTTAAGTTTATTTTTCTGTTTTTGCGGTAAATGAATTTTAAATCAAACTTACATCCTGAAGGTTCAAACTGGTCACCAGTCTCAAGGCTCGTTGACAATACTGGCCGAATATGAGGTGTACTGGCATTAACAGGCGCCAAAGAGGCTAATTTCTTACCTTTGTTAATGTGTATGATGTCAGGAGAAAAAATCGTAACCTTAAAAAATTTCATTATTATCTTGTTTAGTGTTAACTGAAAGTGCATGACAAATTTTTGAGTGCTGATGCTGAGGAGTTGAGACTTTCAGAATATTCACAAGAGAAAAGAGGAAGTTATGCTTTTTTTACAGAATAGCCAAATATACATTAACAGGAGAGTTAACAGGTAACAAACTGCAATTATTCAACACATCAGCATTTGTCGCAAACTACTGAAGGTGCAAATAAAATGTGTGGAGCTAGCAGATTTGCAAATCTAAAACCAATGACAGTCTGTTTAAACTTAAAAATTTGGTTCCTAAAAGTACCACATATTGATCAGCCAGATTCTCAATAATTAAAAATTCAAAGACATGATCTTGAAATCTGATATGTAGAGTAGCTTTCTTGTTGATTAATACTTTATTGTTGGTTTCTCAAACCTGGTGAGGAAACGAGAAAGGAAGATCTCCAATACCCATCCAAGCGCCGAACCTTCGTTATATCTCCTTGACTTCATAGTTTGGCACCACTC